ACATCAACTGTATCTTTCGACAAAGTTTGGAAGTCCACCTACTTCCATAATTTAAGATTGACACCTTGTTCAAACTGCACCTATGTACAATTGAACTTGACCATCTTTTTTCATTTTCATAGTGTGAAGATGTGCCTCATTGCATTCCTTGCATCTCCTCTTTCTTGTTGCGATTTAGGATCTCCATGAGCTATTTTCTTTGGGCGCACCTATTAGCTCCACCATCTGTGTTTTGAGTATTGTTTGGACCATAATAATCTTCAATAAATGACAATATGACACCTAACATATTCTGAACTATGCCATATTGATGATAAGGCCTGGGTGAGGGAGGTGAGAGTTGCTTCCTTTATATAGAGCCAAACGTTTTTTTTTAACAATTTATTCATTTATGACACGTTTGGTTCATGTGAAAATGTTTTCTAGAAAATATTTTTACATGAAAAAATTCTCTCATGCGATCAAGTGTGAAAATATTTTCATACCAATTGGTAATTAATTGATGTAAAATTATTCCGATACTTGACCATTTTCATGCTAGAAAACATTTTCACGTGATCCAAATGTGCCTAAATTGGCTCTTGGACTTAGATTATTGGATGATAATGTGGTCTTTTTAGCTACACTTTTCTTGATGCATTTGATGTGGCACTCTTTTACATCAAGGTCTTGGTTACAACAGTGAAAATAGTGGCGCTTTAACCCAGTTCAAGTCCCCCATAACAGGCATACTCAAAAAATAATTTAAAAAAAATATCTTCCACCTAGGGCGCCTTGTATTTGTGTTTGAAGTGCATTTAATTTAGGTGATTATCCCATAAAGAATGCGCTTTAGTAGCATAACCTCAATTATCAATTTCACGTATGAGACTAAGCCACTCGCAGTTGGGACGTACGAGTACATGGTAGGGCACATATGGGGGGTCTTGGGATTTGCCACAGCTGTTGCCATTGAATATGGAAAAGGACATGGTCTTGGTGAGTCGATTCATCTATTACCGTGCAGTCTCTTGTCTATTGCCCATCTCTAAGATGGATGTCAAAAATGTTACATCCACTACATATTAAAATAAACGGTGAAGGAAGGAATTCAAAAAATAATATTTATATTTTTTTGAAAAAAAAAAATTCCAAATTTAGATTATTGCAAGGGTTTATATTATTGAATTCTAAAATTTTAGATAAATACATAATTGAGATATATTTTGTAGGGAGATCGCACAAGAATAGTCTGAGTCGGCTTACTCATCAAACACTTTTTTTTGTGAGTCAGCGGACTCACGAGTCCGCACAATCACAAACACCCATCTTTAAGATGAACGTCCACACCTAATTATTCCCATCCAATGCATAGAAAAATATTCTAAAAAAATCATTTTTAAACTTTTATTTTAGTACATTTTGTTTTTTATATTCATGATCACCATGGTGTAGATCATGGATCACCACAAATTTGGATCCAAGATCAATACAAATAATGGGCGTTCAAGGGAGCCCGCATGAAAATAGTATGAGTCGAGGGACTCATAAAAACTGGAGGACACGGTTTTGGTGAGTCAGTCCACTCATCTATTACCGTGCGGTCCCTTGTCTATCTAACGTCCATCTCTAAGACGGATGTCAAAAAATGTTACATCAACTACAGTTAAAATGGATAGTGAAGAAAGGAATTCAAAAAATAATATTTATATTTTTCTTTAAAAAAAAATTTCCAAAGTCAGATTATTGCAATGGTTGAGATTATTGAACTCTAAAATTTTGGATAAAAATTACATATTTGAGATATATTTTGTAGGAAGATCACACAAGAATAGTGTGAGTCGAACATCTTTCAGGACATGATTTTGGTGAGTTAGACGACTCATCTAGTACCGTGTGGTCCCTTGTCTATCTAACATCCATCTTTAAGATGGATATAAAAAAATGTTACGTCCACTACAAGTTAAAATGGAAGGTGAAGAAATAAATTTTAAAAATAATATTTATATTTTTTGAAAAAGAAAAATTCTAAATTTAGATTATTGCAATGGTTGAGAGTATTGAACTCTAAAATTTCCAATAAAAAATACATATTTCAGATATATTTTGTAGGGAGGCCGCATGAGAATAATGTGACTCGGCCGACTCACCAAACACTTTTTCTTTAAAAATTGAGGTCAATTTTTATTTTCCACCCTAGAATGATCTAAACTTTTTAAATACCAAGGCGTGGCCATTTTAAGGGCAAGATTTCTATACTTCTCCTACTTTATAAAATTTATATACGTCCCCCTATCCAACCGTCCATTCTGAATGGATGGCTGAGTTGACCCCAATCACAATGTCATACTTCTAAACTATTTTATTTTTAATTTTTTTCTACAAAACATTTTGACACCAACTTTTGGACATCCATTCCTCTCTTAAAGTGGCACCGGTAAAAAATATAAAAAGTTATTTTCAATAATAAAAATGACCAAAATACCCTTAAAAGTTTGAGGGGTATTTTTGATCATTGTATTTTATCAAAAAAAAAAAAATTTTAATATTGTTTTTAGGTGTGTCACATCGAGATGATGGCGCGTACAAAATTTCATATTCATATAATTTATAAAAAAAATAAAAATAAAATACTCTGAGGTATCGGATTTAGATCAAACGAAGAGTGATTTACTTGATCTAAATTTGACGACTAGACGAGGGGGGAAGTATATACCTTTTATACAGTAGGGAAGTACGTAAACTTTTCCCTCATTTTAATTGTTGAAAAATTGCTCGCCGGAACTCTTGGTTGAAAATCCGTGTCACGAGCTTAGTGGCCTTGAAAGAGAAAACCCTACGTTTTCAAGACAGAAACCCAACCTTCAATCATCTAACCCTCAACCCTTCGCAACCAAGGGCCAAAGAAAGCTTGAGACTTTGACCCTAGGCAGCCCAAACCTAGTGCAAATCCAATCTCTCGGTGTTGTGTGGATCAAATTCCCTTCGAAAAGGTTGCAGTGGCCTAGTGATCAATAGGAACTCACTCCCAGCGTAGCTCATAACTAGGGGTTAAAGCAATAATCATAGCATGGGGTTTCTATGAGTTGGCCGATTTCTATGTGCATATGCAACCCCCCGCTAAAATTTATTTTAGATGATTTTTTTCTATGTCTTTTTTGTAGATTCATCATCTAGACCAAGATGATCATAAATATGAAAAGAAAATAAAATTAAAAGTTCAAAATAAATTTTTAGCACTTTTTTTATGCACTATCCATATCTTATTTATGGACAATACACTTTAGATAACGCCTATGGATAATACACTTTAGATAACGTCCATCTTTAGGATGGACGTTTGTAAGACAGCGGGCTCTTGTGCCCGCTGACTCATGAAACAATTTTCCATGACCATATAGGCCTTTCTTTGAGAGATCTACTATGGTTTTTGTTCTTCCTTATTCCAAATACCAATTTGGAGGCAGTCAGGGCATCCGCCAGTTTAATATAAGCCGGGGGTCCATGAGGGCTTATGATATACAAGCATGGGAGGATCTTGAACCCAAATTGTGTAATGTTTATGAATAATTGAATTTTGTTTCCTTCTTGTGGGTAATCTATGGTATTTGAAGTCAATTTTTACTTTGTTTTTCAAACACAGATCACACATCAACACACAAGGAGGCGAACAAAGGCATGATGTATAATTTATCTTTTAGGTACGCTAAAAAAAATTATGTAAACATGGTCCTCCCTCCGTTATTGACTGTACTAAAAAAAAAAACAGTGTTTAATAGCAGGAGGTGCATGCTTTAATCAGCGCATTTTTTCTTTTCTTACAATTGCTATTGAAAGCTTTTGCTTCGCTAGAAAAGATTGCATAAAAAATTTTACTTAACAAAGAGAAAAGCAAACTTGAGAAACTCTTTCCCGAGAAATTATTATCGTGCTGGTTAGCCACAATGTGCCTGACCAGCTTTGACAAGAAGTACCAACTGACACAAAATTAGGTGGACCGGCTTTTAATATTCAAATTCTGTCGGTTCGACACAAAATGTGTCTGACCAGCATATATTGAAACTATTGCTGGACCAGCTTCTATATTCAAGTTGTGCCATTCCGGTGAATTTTGTGTTAGAATGGCTTAGAGAGAGTGGGAAACATAGGTTAAAATGAGCGTATTTTGATTCAAAACAGGCCAACTATTCTGCTTAGGGAGTGGATACAAAAATAAAATGTTTTTGAGATTAATAGTGTCGTGTCAAAAATATTAAGTCACATTTGTAGAAAGTCCAACTTTGGGTATATCTATAATTTTCCCAATAAATATTACACAAAAAAATTACTTCTCACAAAGCAAGCGTACAATTAATTGCACACATTTCAGCTGGATGGCTTTCATAATGTCATTAGTCCCTTGCCCGTTACCCACCCGAAGAAGCCAAAAGATTATTCACCTCAGGAAACTCTCGAATGCAATCTTGAGATTAATCCGCCCTGTATAACTAAACCCTTATCTCTTTCTTTTGTGGTTTAGAAACTTGTAGCACCAATTCCTAATCTCTCTGTAGTATCATCCCTCTCTCTGTAGTATCATCCCCCGAAGAGTGATTTATTTATCGACCCTAAATTTTAAGTAAAATATAAAATGGTTCATTTATTGGTGAAAGTTACAAAAAAAGTCAGTCAACCTGTTTTTTTTTTCAAAATTACCTATCGGTCTACAGGAATTTTTGTTTTTTTTTTTTTTTTGTGTTAACAGTGCCCTGTGCTTTAAGGCACTGCCCTACTAACAAAAAAAACCAAAAGAACTAAAAAGATAATAATCAAAATTCAGGTTGACCGAAAGATGATTTTAAAACAATAAAAGGTTGACCGACCTTCTTTGTAATTTCCACATATAAGTAGAGCATTTCATATTTTACCTAATATTTTAAGGTCCCTATGTATATATCTCTCCTCCTAATATTCATCAAGGAACTATTCTGCAAATTTATACACAAAAATAAAATTCTCTTAAATAACAAAGAGATGCAATATTGTGTTACAATCATGCAAGTGCTCTCCAAGCCCTCAAATAATTAGCCATTATTAGTTCCATGGAATAATAACAACAATGGCTATTTTATACCCATTACATTAATCGTCCCATAAAAAGAGAAGGAGATAAATTGACAGAAATAAACATCTATGGAAAAATAGGGGGCAAAAAAAGGATGAAGAAGATCATAAAACTATTATCATCTGTTATGTGATTTGTGGTAGTTTTGTTGTTCCTGCTGCTGTAAATGTATGAGCCTGTAATAAGCGCCACTTTTGTTCTCTGCAAGGCTTTCATGGCTGCCCTGCTCAATGATCTTCCCATCTTGCAATACAGATATAACATCCGCGCTCTGTATCGTGGATAAACGGTGCGCCACCATTATCGTAGTTCGGTTCTTCATCAACCGATCCAATGCTTGTTGCACCACCCTCTCGGACTCGGCATCCAACGCGCTTGTGGCCTCGTCCAACAGCAATATCGCTGGGTTCTTAAGCACCGCCCTAGCTATGGCCACCCTTTGCTTTTGTCCCCCCGAGAGTTGAACTCCTCTCTCCCCGACTTTAGTTGCATACCCATCAGGCAGGCTAGCAATGAACCCGTCGGCATTGGCGAGCCTAGCCGCCTCCAGGACATCAGACTCTGTGGCCCCATCCTTGCCATACAATATGTTATCATAAATTGATGCAGCGAACAGGGCTGGCTCCTGTTGCACCAGCCCAATGTGTCGCCGCAAGGACTTCAACCGAACCTTCCTGATATCCTTCCCATCAATGAGGACCTTTCCGGCAGTTGGTTCGTAAAAACGCAGAATCAGAGCCAATACAGAACTCTTTCCAGAGCCACTGGCTCCCACTAATGCCATGCTCTGGCTAGGGTTGACCTTGAGGTCGAAATCATAAAATATTCGGACGTCTGGTCGAGATGGGTACGAGAAGGAGACACGCAGGAGCTCAATAGAGCCCTCTACGTGGCTGAGCTCCTCCGCAGAGGGATCCTGCACAATTTCAGAGCGACGATCCAAGATCTCAAAGACAGAGGCAGCCATCTGGTTGCCCTTGATGAGGTCAGGAGCCAAGGCTAGGGTTTCGCCCATCGCCAAAGCCGTCACAATTAAAACCATGAAGGTCTTCATTATAGACTTGAAAGAGGCTAGGCCCTGGTGCATGAGCACAGAGCCATACCATAGGGCAAGGCCATATGAAGAGAAAAGAAAGCACTGAGATACTCCATAGAATATGCCGGCGATTTGGCCACGACGGAACGACCTGCGAGTTGGGCTAGAGAGGCTCTCAGTGTAGAGGTGGATGACCTTATCCTCAGCGCAAAAGGCAGTGACTGTACGGATGTTGCTCACAGCCTCACCGGCGAGCATGTTGGCCTGGAGGTATGCCTTGCTCAGGTTGCCTCCATAGCCTTGCATGAACAATTTCTATGACAAAGAACACCAGAAAGCATTAGAAATGTTCCATAAGTACCTCACCAACCTCGCCGCCATTCTTTTTACTCAATGATTTAAAAAAGGGATTATCTACAAAGAGACCATTTATTATTTATACAAGGAGTAAAACTATTTTTGCTCATTAGATGTCAAATTGGATGGCTTAAAGTGAATCAGGTAGAAACTTTTTTTGGACCTTTGTCTATTCAATGACACTCTTACAGCCAGCTATTTTGAAATCTAAGGGAAAAGAATGATTGTGATCTTTATATAAAAAGTAAAAAGTCTCTTTGTAGACAATCCTTTTAAAAAATAGATCGGAGACTTTGATTGGGCACCCCAAAAATCAGTCCCAAACGGCAATTGGGATCGCCGTTTTATTTTGTAGAAAAAACAGTGAATTGGCAAAAACAATCAACAGGCAAGTAAAGGTCCATTTCGATGAATCGACGATCCAGATGGCCATTTTATTTTAGAGAATCGTTATTTTATTGTGCAAAACCGCCGGTTCCCTTCTAGACTTGGCCATTTTCCTCTTTATCCATGCAGAACCGAAATGGGGGTGATTGATTACCAGGTTGGATTGCAATTCTGTACTGAACTAGTATTTTTTAAATCATTGGTTTTACTTTTTTCATAAACTCTGGAAAACCATCTTTTTTCCTATTTACAGTCCTGGAATGAAATCGATGGATTATAGTCAATGTATTTGAACTTTTAAGCCATAGTGGTATGAAAAGTGGTAAGGATCATTAAGTCATTATGATCCAATGGATTATGGAACATTATAGTCAATTGGATCTTCAAAGTCCATTCCATCGATGGGTGGTCGTGGATATAGAGACAGGGATCCACCCTATGAGCCATGACTGCAATGAGCCATGACTGCAATGGTGAGCCCTCTGTCTTCATCACCATCCATCTTAATGGTCTGAATCTACTGCACTATGGCTTTTAAACGATCCATGGGATCATGGTACCCTACAAGTTTCCTTTCAATTTTCTCAAAAGGAAAGACAAAAATGAAATTGCCATGAAGTGACCTTTGAGCTATATCTTAGGCAAGAGCACAAAAACCATGGTGATTTCAAACTCGAACAAAATAAGGAAAATTACCTCACTAATGTGGCCGCTAATGAGTAAAGGGTAGGTGGCTATCATGAGTAGGGCTATACGCCAATTGAGCATAAAGGCGATGATGAAGGAGGTGATGACAAGGGCAATATTTTGAAGGAGTATAGTGGATCGGTCCACCACTATGGTCCTTAGCAGAGTAGCATCAGACTCCAAGCGTGATGCAAGCATCGCACTATTGTTGTTCGTATTGTCGAACCAACCAATCTCGTTTCTAAGAATAGCTGCATTAATGGAAAAGTAGACATGCAATGATTAATGGTTATTGCCGGGCATATGCTAAAGGGTGTGTGGTTTCTATAAGGTTGCAACCTTAAACAATCCAATTAAGGCGTAACTCCAAATTTTATTATAATATGTAATTTTTATGTAAATTATTATTAAGTTTATCTGAAAATCTATTTTCATATCTAATTATAAAATTTTAAACTTCAAAAATAGTTAAAATCAAGTAGATCTATAAACATACGAAAATCTTGAAAATAGACGGTCTAGATAATGTGTTGCGAGATGCACTATTTTTTGGACTAAAAAAAAGAAGAAAGAATATATATATAATTTCAAACTTCAAAAATAGTTAAAATCAAATAGATCTATAAACATACGAAAATCTTGAAAATAGACGGTCTAGATAATGTATTGCGAGATGCACAATTTTTTGGACTAAAAAAAAAGAAAAAGAAAGAATATATATATATATATATTTGTCATATTCATACATCTCGATGTCGAGATGATCAATTAGAGGGTTTTTCAACACTAAAACAATATTTTCCAATAGTTTTTGAGATGCATCTGTAATTTTATATTTTAAGGTTGCAACCTCATATAAACTTTTTCCATAGTTAAATAGGGTTAAAAAGGGCATAATGGTCTCTCTTTTGAGACACAATGTGCCTTGAGAAATGAACACATATGTTGTAGGGCTTAAAGTGGGCCAGGCAGCCCAGCCTAACACAACTTGGCCTTAAAAATTAGGGTATGGGCCACAAGATATGGCTTGAGGGCATGACATAGCCACCATGGCCAAGAGTCATGATAGGTCGGGCATGGGCAATGGTGGTTGGCTTGGCTCTCGGAGCATATTTTGGGGCCTATACCCTATAGTTTTTGAAAGCAAGACCAGACTATGCTTGTCTACCCCACTGTAAGCCACTTGTCCTTTAGTCAAAGGCACACATTGTGGCTCAAAAGAGAGATCATCTGGGCCTTTTCTTTGTGTAGGTAATAGGGTTTGGAAAAAAAAGGGCATGATAGCCTCTCTTTCAGGCCATAATGTGTGCCTTGGCTAAGGGACAAATCGGACTAGTATGACCTCGAAAAACTAGGATATATGCCATAAAAATATGATTTGAGGGCCGGCCCATATTGAAAAACTAGGGTGCAAGTCACAAAATATGGCCTGAGGGCCAAGTTCAGCCACCATGCTCCAAGACATAGCTAGGTGGGCCAGGCTGCAGTAGGGCTGCCCCTGTGCTTTACCTTAATTTTTTCTCTAAATTTATTAGGCCCAACCCAAGTGAAAATCAGGCCCGGGCCCCTTTGGTTGGGTTGGGACCAAGCCTAACCTATACAGACCTAGGCAGAACTTACGCCAAGCTAGCCCTGCCCATTGCTTGCCCTATATTGTTGTCATAAAGTGTCAGAAGTAGCATGGTCATAAATCATACTCGAGGGGCATACAAGATAAAACCAAAGAGTACAATATATTATAACCCAATTGAACAAGGAAAAACCATTTTTCATATGTTCCAAGAATTTTGATGGAGAGTGATAGGCAAAGGGAGGGAACCACCATTCAATTCATTTGTTTTGCAGGTGGGTCCAATGCTGTCTCCATCTCCATCCATTTCATTAGATGCTGCTGATCCAATGGACTGTCGTTTTCCCATAGTCTATCGGATGATAATAAACTTCCCCAACACATCATGTGAGGTAGTCATGCTTCATGTTTGCATAATCACTCAAAATACCCTCTATTCTCATAAATTACAAGAATATCTCCACACCCTATATTCATGAAAGACCAAAAATGCCACTAATTAGGTATTTCTAAAAATATCAAAATGCCATGGTCGAGGTCTATTTCCATTAAAGACCTAAATGTCCTTGACAAGGTTTATTTCTATCTATAACAAAAAAGATAAGCTTTCTGCTTGTCCTACTGTATAGAACTTATATACTTCTCCATATCCAAATGTCCATACTAAATGGATGGCTGAGATGGCCTCAATCACAATGTCACTTCTCCACACCATCTTATGTTTAATTTTTTCTATAAATTATTTGGACACCAAATTGCACTTGAAAAATATATATAAAAAAATATTCTCAATACAATAAAATGACCAAAATACCCCTAAAAAATTCAAGGGGTATTTTGGTCAATAATTTCTCAAAAATATTTAACTTTTTTTTAGTTGCACCCTGTTGAAAAGATGACACATCCCAAATTTTATATTCATACAATTTGTAGAAAAAAATAAAAATAAAAATACTGTGAAGCGTCGGATCTAGATCAAACGGTTAGCGGCTTGCTTGACCTAAATTGGACAGCTGGATGGGGTGGGGGGTATACATCTGGCTGTAGGGGAAATATAGAAACCTTTCCCTTACCAAAAACCCTTGCAATCTTGATTTCATTTTATAAATAACAAAAATACCCTCATTAGTACTAGTTTCTCACCTCCAAACATCTTCTCCCTGACACGAAGGGTGAGCCGCTCCCCCATGATCCCAAAGCTCAGATGCTCGATTGTGTGGAAGAACACTGTCAAAGCAGCAGCCGCACAAAACAAGAGCGCGATCCTACGTATCTCACGACGTGTCGTATCCCAATCGGAGTAGTACACAACAAGTGCTTGTGATACTCCCAAGGCAAACAATGGCATTTGTGCTCCGGCAAAGATGGCACCAATAGTCCCGAACGTGCCAAAAACCCAGTCTGGGGCGGCCATTGAGTAAAGGCGACGCAGCGACACAGGCTTCGGCTTAACATGGGTTTCACTCAAGTCCGGGCCATAGCGGTTCGACGTGTCCTTGTCCGAGTGGAAGCTTGTTCCGAAGCTCGTGGTTGTTCGAGAGAGCTGGCGCGAGAATTTCATGCTGTAGTAACACATGCGGGGTTGCAAAGTTCAGAAGAATGCAGAGTAATGCATGTGTATATTTGCAGTACATGTGTATATAACCAGGAAAATATCCAGGTTTTCAAATTTTTAGCCCCTTCCTCTAAAATGTCACATTCCAATAGCAAAAAGAACCTTTACATTAAAACCTATTTCCTCATCAACATTACCAAAACAAGCCCTTACATTCATCTAGAATGGCTCTAGGGATCATCATATACATGATTAACTATATAGAGGAAGGAAAAGTGCCCAAGCTTAATTGGTCAGCGCTTGACAATTTGCAACGGTATGCCCTAAGCTTAATTCCTACCAAAGATAGGGGCCCTATCCTCATTGGCTCTCCCAAAAAAAGTAAATATAGAGGGAGGATAAAGAAGAAAAACTGACCTGTTGGGCTGCCCCATGCCAGGGCCACCATCACTGTGGGCCTGGTGAGTCGCATCCTGCAGATGGACAAGTGTGGTGTAGGCCCCACCAGGGTTCAAGATGAGTTCTTCATGGGTCCCACTCTCGACTATTCTCCCCTCCTGGAGAACCACTATCATGTCGGCATTTCTTATGGTGGAGAGTCGGTGAGCCACGATAACCGTGGTCCTCCCCACCATAACTCGGTCTAGAGCTTCCTGAACACTCTTCTCTGACTCTGCATCAAGAGCACTAGTGGCCTCATCAAGGAGTAGGATTGATGGGTTCTTTAGAATGGCTCTTGAGATCGCTATCCTTTGCTTCTGGCCACCAGATAACTGGATTCCTCTCTCACCAACCTGCATGTGAAACTCAGTAAAGAGTTAAGAAGTTATCATCATCAAAGCCTTTTCTCAGCTTAACCTGCATATGAAACTCAACTCAGTAAAGAGTTCGGAAGTCATCATCATCAAAGCCTTTTCCCAACTTAGTAGGAAGTCAAGACAAAAAGGGCCGTTGGTTGTGCTTAGAGGCCTATGGGCGTCATGGTTTGTGTCATGGCTAATGAGGCTCATATGCTTTTATTTTCTTTCATCTTCCTAACATTTCTCGTCATAAATTTCTACAAGTAGTTTTTCTCTGATTTGTACTTGTAGTTTTGTTTAACCTTAATTTCAAACGATTTTGCATTGACAAGGAAAAAAAATGTCCCAATATATAGTAAAACACGCTTTTTTCTGTTATAGTTCATGATATTTTCCAAACATTAGAGTTAGCACCAATATTTTTCGAAATTTAAGTGAAGCCTTTGGAGAGATTCAACAGGTTGGTGGTATTCTACAATGTTATCATGTTTCTTTTCTATTATTTTTCACAAAACTGAATTTCAGCCATTCTGTAATCCACAATCTCCATGGAAATGAAAAAGGAAAATACATAAAAGGGTAAAGAGAACTTCAATATACAAGGGCAATATTTATGGCACTTTGAATGAAAATGGTTTTGTCCTCACACCTGGGTCTCATACCGGTCTGGTAGGTTGTTAATAAAGGAGACAGCATCTGAGAGCTTTGCTGCTTGCAAGATCTCATCCATGGTGGCATTATCCTTCCCATACAATATATTCTGCCTTATGCTCGTCGCGAAAAGTGCTGGCTCTTGGTTCACCAACCCGATCTGTCCTCGCAACCACTTGAGCTCGAGCCCCCTGACGTTCTCACCATCAAGTAGTATGTGGCCTGATCTTGGCTCATAGAATCTGAAACATAGTGAAATAAGTCACTAGCTTATCAAGATACCATACATTTGATGTTTGGGTTTGATTCCACATCCTCAAGGTTACAATAAGTATCTTCCAATTGATCAGGACTACTTCAATCCAGTGGATTATGGAAAAATTACAGTCCGTAGGTTTATCACCATCCAACAAAATTATGGATGGTTATAGAGACAGTGAGATCACACATACTCCTCTCTATCACCATTCATCATATCATTGCATGATGATGAACCATTGTGCTATTCTTCATCGTAGAACATTGAATTATAGATATTTTATCACTGAACAATGATGTTAAACCCAAATTTCCAAATTGTATGTCAGTCCTTGAAAAGGATTCAATAAAATTCAAACAATTCAAATACCTCTCGATCAGTGACACCACTGTACTCTTCCCGGAGCCGCTCCCACCGACTAGTGCCACCACCTTAGCAGCCGGGATGTTGAGGCTGAGCCCCTCAAAGATGGGCACATCAGGTCGAGATGGGTAGCTAAAATGCACATTTCTAAACTGGATATGGCCCTCCACCTTTTGGAGGCTTTTGCCAGTCTTAGAGCTCTCCTTGCTCGCGGTTTTCCTCTCTATCATTTGGAAGATTGAGTAGGCGGCCGCACGAGCACGGACAAAGGCTGATATGTCAGGTGCTGCCTGCCCTAGTGACCTGATGATACCCCACCAACATACAATAAACATTGTTCAGTAACATGCACAATTTTAACATAAACTGGATTCGCTCATAGTTAACGATAACAGACTTATCTAATCTTAACTTAAGGCCAGAGTGGAGCTACTAACGGAATTCTAAATCGATTTTAATTGATTGATTTTAGGGAAATAATTAAAAAGTAGAAAAAAAATTTCATGCAGGTTCGACCACATTTTTACAATGTGCGATCCATAGCCATAAAGCATCCATCTTTAACTTGGATGCAAATAGGTGGTCCATCTAAAAACAAGTGTAACAAACGGTCCAAATGTTTTTTTAATATAATTATTATTTCTTGTTTTCAATTGTTTTTTTTATATTCATAATTTCCATGTTAAAGATTATATCTTCTCTAAAAATTAGGATCAAATTATATTTAAAAATATATTTAATGCCCAGCCCGCATTTCTACAACATGCGGGCTGGTTGCATAGAAACCATCCTTAAAAATATGCCTTCATTTTTTTTATTATTGAAAATAAACCCCAAACTTTCCAAAACTTCATCCATGCTTTTTTTTTTTTTTTCACTTATTGTATTTTTTTACCAAAATAGCTTTTACACTAGTCTTAGGACCGTGAAGACATCACGATAGGCTCATTGTCGTGACGGTCATGGGCGGTTTTTTAAAGCGTCACGACATTTAAACAACTATGATAGTTGTTAGAAGGCATCACAACGCTTAAAAAGCCGTGATGGTCATTAAGGGTTCTTATGCCCCATAACGAAGGTATAACGGTTAAATCGAACTATAATAGTCCGATAAACCATCGCGGTTTTTTAAGTGCCGTGATGCTTCAAATTACATTTGACTTACAACCCGCCACGGCCATCATGGTTTTTAATAGAGCATGACGCCTTCATAGTCTAAAACTATAGCGAAGGCTATTTTCATCTACTCACTCCAAAAAAGGGCTATGGATGGGGTTTCCGAAAGTTTAAGATCTATTTTCAATAATGAAAAAATTAAGATATATTTTTGATACTTTCCTTTAACTTTAAGAGGTTATCTGAATTTTGAATTTATGCATTTGTGTGTGTGAGAGAGAATGTGTATGTTTGAGAGAGAGAGAGAGAGACTTACAGGCCACTTATAACAACATTGAGCATGGTGGTGAAGGCGTCGCCTCCATTTGCTATGTGCTTGTGCACCACGAGGCTAGTGAACCATATAAGCAACGCCCAAGAACAAAATAGCACACAATGCATGGAGCCAAGGCCCACTCCCTTTGCGAGCCCACCCTTCTTCCCGTACTTGTAGGTTTCCAATAATGCCCTCCTATACGATCTAACAGCTTTCTCTTCCCCAACAAATGCTTGGACGGTCCTCACGTTCCCAATCACCTGCTCCATTTCCAGATCAACGGTCAAGAATACCACTTCATTTATTCAGATGGATATCTGACCATTAATTGATTCGAAAGGTATGAACAGAACAACAAAATGCGTGTCGTGTTGTAGTTGGTTATCACCTCAGTCTAACTCACTGAAGGTCGCCGGTTCGAATCGTTTGGGGACCTTTTTCACCCTCTTATACAACTTTTCATTTGGCCTTTCTATCACAAATTGCTCTATCTATCTTAAGCAAAATCAAAATCGAACCGGAATGGTCATGAGGGTGCAAAATCGAATCGGAATGGCTAACAGGTCATGAGGGTGAGGGAACGGTAACCGGACTAAACAAGTCAAGTAGATATTTTTTTTAAAAAAAAGAGGTCAAAATGCCCCAAAAATAAAAATAAAAATAAAAAAAACTTAGATTAAGTATACACTATCATATTACATATATTTATCTTATAAAAAAAAATTTGAAACAATTTTTTATATAATTTAATATTTTAATATTATGAAGATATGTAAGACAATTTATAATTTCACGTAAATTCAATTGATGAAGTTAGAACGTCCAACTAACAATGGGTGATGCAACAATATATGCTTCTATATTGTTTTAATGTTGATGTTGAAAAATGTTGTTTTAATGTTGAAACTTTAATACGGTTTAGAATTGGGTTTGAGAGTACTTTTTTTGTAGCATGATGTTCCCATTTTTTCGAAGGGTTGTGAGTCAAGGATTTTTTCTATCACAAAATGTTCCATCTATCTTAAGCAAAATCGAACCGGAATGGTTAACTGGTCATGAGGTAGGGAGCGGTTCGTACCGAAACCGGACTAACCGGTCAAGTACATTTTTTTTTAAAAAAAAGAGGTCAAAATGCCCCAAAAAAAATTAAAAAAAATAAAAAACTTAGATTAAGTATACGCTATCATATTACATACATTTATCTTATAAAAGAAATTTTGAAACAAATTTTTATATAATTTAATATTTTAATATTATGGAGATATGCAAGGCAATTCAGAATTTCACATAAATTCAATTGATGAAGTTAAAAAGTCCAACTAACAATGGGTGATGCAACAATATATGCTTCTATATTGTTGTAATGTTGATGTTAAAAAATGTTGCTTTAATGTTGAAAAACCCTTTAATACGGTTTAGAATTGGGTTTGAAAGCGTACTTTTTTGTAGCATGATGTTCCCAGTTTTTCTCGAAGGGTTGTGAGTCAAGGAAGTAAGAGAGAGCACCTCATTTACTCAATAACTTGGTTATCAAATGCAAGGTGTGGGTCAAGGTGTTAAGTGCTGCTTCAAATGGCCAAATCACATATTTTAAAAAAATATGTCCAAGTTGATTTCAAATGACCAAATCGATTTTGAAATGGCCAAACCTCATTTACTTAGTAACTTTTTGAGTTGGGTTTTAACATGAAAAAAAAAAAAAATTACATAAGATGGCAACTTTAAAATGTCTAATTAAGATGCGTATTTTTTTGAAAAAAAAACAAGTTAATTTTTTATCCATTTCAGTATGTGGAAATATGAGAGATGAGTAAAACACTTTTTAGTTTCTACCTCTTTTCTTCATAGAGCCTAATAAACAGATTTAAGCAGTATGAAGTTGCAACAAATGATAGATTGCTTGT